TGAAAGCATCAATCGAACAAATTTTATATATATATACAGGTGCTCACATACTGTTTTCTGTTATCAAATAGGTCTCACCTAAAAACATACATTTTTACGCAAAGATAACTAAACAATTTTGAAAATTTTTGACATCAATTTATTGCATTTTTCCCACTCTTTTTTTCGCGTAATAAATTAGCATCATGAATAAAATTTTAAGAATGAGGTATGATAAGAAGCACATTGTTTGCTTCCGATTAACATGAGAATCTATTCGCTGACGTTCAGCTTTAAGCTAATCGTGACGGCTATTTCGTTCAGTTTCCAACTTTTATTTCAATTTAGCTGCTGTTTAAATTGATTCTTACTGTGATGAAAAAAAGATTTAACAAAATTATTTCTGGTAGTAATAGCAGTCAATTTTTGGTCGAATTTTGTTGTCAAAAATATATGGGCAGCAAATACTGGTGCTATCGGACCTAGAAACTGATATTCAATAAACTTTATCATATTGAAAAAACGGTCTCAATCTTACTGTCGTACTACGGTCTGTCTCTGTCTATATGATCAGCTGTTTGGCCAGTGTCAACTTAATATTAGCCTATATTGTTGGTCTGGCCATCACTGGACAAATAGGAAATCTGTCTTCCAAATGTGGAGATGTCGATTTGAGTGAAATATTTGGAAAAGGAGGAAATTGTTTACAAATAATAACAGACGATATTGGGTCGTCGTCGTCGTTGTCGTCGTTTGGGTTAGATATGCATCCATAAAAATTGAGGTTTTTTTATTCACCATCACTTTGAACTGTTCAAATGGTTAAGCATTTTAAAACATGTTCAGAAAGCTTTTTCATTTTATTGTGGAATATCTTAATTTTCTCGTCTTAATCTTTTTTTCGTCATTTACTCTTTAAACTACTTTTTATTACTTTCAATGTACATTTTATTCGACTACTGATGTAATTTTAATCTTTTCAAAATCTTTTCTTTTTTCTTTTTCAACTTTGATTACTGTTCTTTAAAATTTGTAGCATAGAATTTTTGTAGAGGCAAAAAAAAAAAAGTAAAGCAAAGAACTAGTTGCTGGTTATTAGGCAGTTTGATCTCGTCAGTTTTGTTGTTTCTAATGACCATCTTCATCATCATCTTCGTCGTCATCGTCTTCATCACCGTGCTCGTCGTCATTGAGAAGTATATCATTACTGTGGGAAACAGCCAATACTTCAAAAACAGTTCGTAGGTTATTGTTGCTGTCGTTATTGCTAATACCATTGTTGAATAATAGCTTTTCTTTTTACCCGATATTTTTGGTCATTATTTCACAGCTATTTGTTAAATTTCGGAGGCAACTAATAAAGAAAAAGAGGGAGGGGAAGGGGGAAAAAAAAAAAGAAGAAGATTTGGGCATTTCTATTTGATGTTTCTGTTTTGATTCTGTTTGTTTGTCGGTTCGTAAAGAACTGTAGTTGATGCAATTAGCTAACAACAGCAATAACAACAACAACAATAACCAGGTGTGTCTTATATGTGTGCTATGGCTTAATAAGCTTAAATTTTAAGCTTTGTAACTACGTATTAAAAATCACTGGCAATTGATGGCTGTATGTATGTAAGTATGCGAATATGTGGGTATTTTGGATGTGTCTGAATGTGTGTTTACAGATTTGTATGCATGTTATTTTGATCGGTCTACCCTCTATGAATACTGTTGAAGCTTACCATTTTTCGTCTTTCTTCAGTTGTGCATACATACCACAAATTTATAATTTCATTCCTTCCTATAGTATTGTAGTGAGCGGAAAATCAAAAATACATATATACATAAATAAATAAATATTTATGTATATTTAATGTATTTTTTGTTTTATTATTATTAAATACATTATTTTAAACAATTTTTT